TTTTGGCTAGTCACTAAATTGAAGTCCTTGGTTACCTCATTTGTAAAATGAGGAAACTAATATTTGCTTCTCAGGATGTTGGTTAAACAAAGTAACTAGGAGAACACTAAGTACAGGTGTTAGACCAGAGTAAATGATTAACAAATTGGATATGTGTCTCTTGTTCAAGGTGAATCTTCGATAATAACAAACATTGACAAGGATATGGAAAAACTGGAACCTTCCCCCACCAGAGCTACTTGTGGGCATGTAAAATGGTGCAGCTGTCTCTGAAAAAGATCTGGCAGCTCCTCAATATATTAAATGTGGAAGTGCTATGTGACTCAACATACATACAGCTGGGGTTGTAGCTCAGTGGTAGAGCATTTGCCTAGCATGCATGAGGCTCTGGGTTTGATCCTCTGCATCACATAAAAATAAAGGTATTGTGTCCATCTATAACTAAAAATATTTTTAAAATATACATATGCATAAAACTTGTGCATGAATTTTATAGTAGCAATTTTCATAAGAGTTAAAAAGTGAAAAAAAAATCCCAGTGGCTACCCACTGATGAATGGATAAACAAAATGTGGTATATCCACACAGTGGAATATTATTTGGCAAGAAAAAAAAAGAATGAAGTATTGATCCATGCTAAAATATGAGTGAATCTTGAAAACTAAGTGAAAGAAAGAAGCAGGTTACAGAAGAATCAATACTATGTTCTATGATTCCATTTATGTGAAATGTCTGGAATAGGAAAATGATCCTCAGAAACAAACAAACAATATATATATATATGAGGCTGCCAGGGTTACGGTGGGTAAGGGGAGATGTGGGAATATAGGAGAGAAGCTGGAGAGACAGCAACTGGATCTAAGGCTTCTTTTGGGGGGTAATGCAAATATACTAGAATTAGCAATAATGGTGGACCAGTATTGTGAGTGTATTAAATGCCACTGAACTATATACTTAAAAATGGGTGACATAGTCTATAAAATATAGTTCAATAAATCTGTTTAAAAAAGATAAATTTAATAAAAGATGCTGTGTTTAGAATTGATAGAGAGTAGGGAGGAGGGCTGAGCAGAAAAAACAACTGGGCCATGAAATCTAGCATGGGATCACAAATTCCGCCATGGACGAGAACATTTACACAGAACAACTGTGGGGTGGGGTGAAATGCTAAGTCGAATCCTTTAAGAGTGAGCAGCGTGGCAGCTCCATTGACCCTGGAAGCTGCCCAAGGCCTGCCCTGGGTGGCAGGAAGGGCGGAGAAAGTAAAGTTTTAAAGAATGCAATGCAGGCCAGGTGCAGTGGTGCACATCTGTAATCCCAGCAGCCATTCTGGAGGCTGAGGCAGGAGGATCACGAGTTCAAAGCCAGTCTCAGGAACTAGCAAGGTCCTGTCTCTAAATAAGATACAAAAAAAGGGGGGCGGTGCTAGGGCTGCAGTGAAGGGACAGAGGAAATGGAGGCAGAACTGTGGTCATTTCTGATTAGAAATGGACCCCATAGGATTAGGCTGCGACGCTGTGGAATAGCACTTGCCTGGCATGCAGGGGACCCACCCCCCTGGAAAAGAAGCAGAGACCCCTCTCTGGGGGGTCTGGGGTGAATGCTCTGGTCTGGACGAAGGGACCCTGAGGTCCTCTCGGGACCTCTCCAACCCTCCAGTATGGGGTGTGGGCATCAGATTCGAGCTCTGGACAGTGGTGTGGCTCCATTTGGGCTGTTCTGGGACACAGAGGAGAGATGCAGCCTCCCTGGCAGTGCAGTTTGGTTCCTGTGAAGACTGTCCTTGGGGCAGGAAGATCTTCATTTCTGGAACACAGCAAACACAAATACGAGATTTCATATCTTCTCTGCCAGTCTCCCCCTTCCCTGTAATTGGAAACTTTCGCCCTCAGTCTCACCTGTAGGATTCTGTCTTCAAATGCAGAACTCTCTTCACCGGCCGCTCCCCGACCACGTCTGTCTGTCTGTCTGTCTGTCTCTCTCTCTCATTCCTTCAAATGCTCAGGATTCTTTATTTTTCTGTTCTTTTGATTAGTGATGGGGAGGGGAGGGGAGGGAGAGGCCCAGGACTCCTCTGTTTCACGAGTTTCCCATAAAGCCTGCAGCTTCTAAAGGCGGCTCTCAGACCCCCAGGCCTTCTGTTGGACAGTCCTGGGTCTGCCTCCTCCTTCCATAGGTGGGCTTTGTGCTCAGAGGCACAGAGACGGTGTGCAGCTCCCTGTGGTGTCTGGACCAGCCGCCCACTGCCCCTCTCACTCCCACTCCCACCTGCCCAAGAGACTCAGGACCCCCCCACACACACACACACTGGCAAACATCCAGAAAAGCCCTTATTAAGAAGAGCCCTTTATAAGGCGTCCTTGTGACCTACCCCTGTGGCCCTTAGTATGCTGCTCAAGCAAAGCCCCAGAGAATCTTTGTCACTCCAATCACCATTATTGTTCAAGACGTTCGGTTTTTTCATTTTCCTCTATGAGACGCATATGACTGGAGTGCCTACTCTTGGGAAGCGAAAGTCACAGTAGATTGCTACTTTGGGTTTATGGGGGGAGAGTCCCATGCTGTGGGGACACTCCCTCCTCCCCTCTGCGTCCCCTGCACCCAGATGGTCCTCGCCTGCCCGTTCAGTCATCAAAGTCAGCTTTCAAAACAACCTGTGCTTTGCACTCTGGGCCTTTTCAAGTGTGTGGCTTTTCTTTCCAAGATTGAAAGAAATCTTCATTTTCAGTCCAACACAAGAGCTCAGCCCCCAAACCAGCCTGCAAGTTTCTTTCCATCTTTTGGCCCATTCAAAACACATATGGAATATTTGGGATTTCTCGGGCGTTCTTAAGGCCTCAGAACTCCCTGGAGATTTTGAACTTTGGGGCCCAGGGTAAGAGCTAAGGTAGTTGTGAGCTCCCGTACCCTGAAGTCAACCACCTGTCCCTGTGCTTATTCCCAGAACTCTGACTCTGAACCACCTCTTCTAAACTGGCCTTTGTTCTGGATGTCCAGGGCTCTGAGAATAATCATTCACTCCTTCATTCATTCATTCATTCATTCATTCATTCATTCATTCATTCATTTACTCATTCTTGCAATTGGTTCACAAGTAAACCCAGAGAGGGGCACTGAAGGACATAAATGTAAGCCCTGAATTTTAGCCTATTCTATGCCTCGCCCTCAAGATAAGGTCCACAAGACCCCTGAGTGGGGAGGAACCTGTAGATTTAGGTAATTTCCCTATCATAATGTAACAATGCTTCCATTTACAGATATCTTGCAAAGCTTAGTTCTGTATTGGCTTAGGTACAAATTTGATCAGAGATATCAGTGTAAGGAAACCTTAATGAGCCCTGGTCTTTTTATGTAAACTGGTCTCTAATTAAGACAGAATTCCCCCCTGAGAAATATACACAGAGCCTTGTTCTATTAATATACCCTTGGGCCATTGTTGCTGTGTACTTTGGCCAGCCTTCCCCCTGCCCCTCAACTGTTGACAACACTTCAGGAATCCACATGCCTAAACCTTTGGGGTGAAAAGGAAGACAAATCTTATAGGCTGCCTTCATGTGACTTAGTCTTGCACCTCAAGGGTCCTTCCCTGACACTTGGATGTACAGCAGGAGAAGTCTCCCCACCCGGCCTCTGGCTAACAACAAATTTTAGGCGGTGCAAAGTCTCCTACTCTGGTCCCTATTGTTGGTATCACTTTTCTGGGTTGCAGAGGGAGACAAGAGTGTTTGAGTATGACAGTAGGAACCAGACCTTCTCCTCATGGACTCTGTAGTTAAGCAATACACTAGAAATCCAAGATGCTATCAGTTGTAACATGGAACACCATTTTGTTTCTGTTAGCATTCTGTGACTATGACAAAACGCCTTAGGTAATCAATTTAATAAGGGGAAAGGTTTATTTTGGCTCATGATTTCAGAGGTTTTAATCCATGCTCACTTGACCTCATTGTCTCTGGGCCTGTGACGAGGCAGCACATCATGGTAGGGAGCACATGGTGGAAGAAGCTGCTCACCTCATAGTGGCCAGTAAGAAAATAGGGAGAGAGAGAGAGAGAGAGAGGAAAGGGCCAGATAGAGTCCCAATATCCCCTTCAAGGATACCTCTCCAATGATCTAACTTTCTCCCACCAGGCCCCACGTCTTAAAGGTCCCACTACTTCCCAATAGTACTATGGGCTGGCAACCAAGCCTTTAACACATGGGCTTTAGGGGGGATGGTCAAGATCAACCCATGCTCTAGCAATTTCTTAGAAGAAAAAAGAACGCAGCCCATTAAATTATGACAACAGTTGATTGTTAGAAAAAGTGCATCTTAGAATTATTAAACTAGTCACACCATGGCTATGTGTGTAGGACTTGGAATGGGGCTACTGGGGTTCAAATCTCTGTTACTTAATGTCTGACTTTGGCAAACCATGTTATGCCTCAATGCCCACATCTCTTAAGACAAAATTAATAATAGTAGTATCTACTTGAGAGAGTAGGAGTCTTCAATGACTCCGTGAAACAGTTCACAAAGGACCTGTACTATGATAAAGGTCAATACTTGTTAGTTGAAAGCTAATGAAGAATAGTGCTTTACCCCTAACATTATTGAACAATTAGCCTATTCCTGGTATGGTCCCACACACCCGATATGGATTATCTTCACCTATAAGTCAGCTCGCCAAGGAGGGAGAAGGACAAAGGTGAGAACCCAAGGAGGAAGATGTGGTGATTATTCCCATTTTCTGGATGTTGGGCTGAGACACAGGGAGTGTACAGATACACAGTATGCATCTTAAATAAATGCCCAGGACCTTCCCCCTTTTTAGTTATTTACTTTTTGCCTAATGTTTTACTTTAAACATTTTTTCCATGAAAACTTTTTACCATGAAGCTAATGAGACTCTGGGCCTCTTCTCAAGTGCTGGGAGCCACAGGAGAGCATTTACAGTGAGCTCACTGAGCAGTAGAGGGCCGGGGGCATGGCGGGGGGGGGGACTCTCATTGAACCTAGAGACATCATCACGTTTGAGATGGGCCTGGAGAGAAAGAGAGAGGACTTTGACAGAATAAAAAGGAGGATGAGAACCTGTGTGGCTAAGGGAACAATATGTGTCCCATGTCTGGGGCTGGGGGGGCAGAAGAGCTTGGCTTCAAGGAGGGTTAGGGGACAAAGCAGTGAGTCTGGAAATAGGACTTAGGAAAAAAGGTTGGGAGGCTTTAAAAAGGGTATGACAGAGTATTAGCTCCATCTTGCTGCTGTAACAAATTACTGCTTAAAGCAGAATTTATTATCTTATTGCTTTGTAGATAAAGAAATCTAAAATTAAGAGTTGGTAGGACTGTGCTTCTTCTAGAGGCTCTGGAGGAGAATGTGTCACCAAATTGCCTAGTTTCATGTCTTCCAGAGGCTACCTACATTCCTTGGCTTGTGGTCCTGCTATGGTTTGGAAGTGGTTTGGTCCCCTCCTTGAATCACTCCAACCTCTTGCTTCCATTGTCACGTCTCCTATAATTCACTTGGATCCTCCTGCCTCCCTTTTGTAAGGATCCTTTGATCCCCTTGAGTCTCCCTGGATAATCAGCAGTCATCTCCCCATCTCAAGATTCTAAATCTTATCTGTGAATTTCCCCCTTTTATGGACGAGAACATATTCCTAAGTTCTAGAGACAGGATATAAACATCTTTAAGGGATCATTACCTCTGACATTTGCATTAAACAACCAATGAAAGAGGAGCTACTAGAGTAAGGCACTGAGTTAAGAGCCCAGTGGATAGTCCAGATGAAGAGTGATCTGGTCATGGACAGTGGGTATGGGGAGGGCTAGGGGGTTGGCTGCAGCTTGGAGAAGCTGGTAGAGTCTTTCTCAAGGCCTTGTTCTGAACCTTTGCATACCTAACAAGCTCTCAGGTGACATCCACGTTGCTGGTTCCTCAACAGCTCAGCATCCCAAGGCCCTGGGGAATAGTATTCCATGAATGTCAAGAAAGAACCCAAGAGGCAGAGCCCACAGATCTGAGAAATCAGAATAGTCCTAAGAGAAGAAGGTGTCCTGAAGTCCCTAGAGGAGAATGTGATCACATGGGAAAAGAATAATATTGAAAACCTCCCAGATTTGGCCATTAAATCACTGGTGTCCTTCGTGAGAGCATTTTGGTGGAGTTTGGGAACGCCAAGTGGGTACCAACTTTCTCTACCTTTATCTGAAAATGTGGGACCAGGTTAGCAGAGATGGGCAGAGGCCTAGGGGACCTTCCCTCTTTCCTCTGGCAGCAGCTGTGGTGTGTAATGGGCACTCAGAGCCACGTGGTCTCAGTTTATTGGCTTGCTCTGCTCTGGGGTGCTGACATCTCCATGGCATGAGCTTATTTTGGGACACACGAGATATTCATTTGTAAAGATATACAATAGCAGAGAGCCTGACATAATAGGTCTCGTAAAAATTGTACAACTGCAGCAGCAGTTCCAAGAGGCCCAGCCCAGTTGACAGAAGGAGGGGCACCCTAGGGTCAAGGCTGGTGTCCAAGGGCTAACTCAGTCCATTCTTCCCTGGGTCTCCATCATGCATAGCCATTTCCTTTTGGGGTTACAGTTTTTATTATCTCTGTACCCTTGCCCCCAAGGGTTAAAGATAGATTGTTTTCTTCGAAGTGCATATGACATAAAATTATGGGATTATAATTTAGTAGTAAATGCCATGCCTCTAAGAGCACATTAGCTATTGTTGACTTGTCCTGATTTTTTTTTCTACTTGGATGTCCCATCTCTTTGGACAGTTATCTAGCTTCTTCTCTTCTGTATTATGACTCCACTTACTGTGACCTCACCAAGCAGAAAGAAGATGTCCACTGCATCATGTGAGTATTTATGCAGGAAAATATTAATAAAGAAAGAAAGAAAGAAAATAGCACCAGAGGCTTATCTGTTCTGTCTCTGCAGTGACAAGGGAACAACCATTTAAAAAGGAATTTTTCACAGGGCTGGAATTGTGGCTCAGTGGTAGAGTGCTTGTGTAGCATGTGGTGGGCACTGGGTTTGATTCTCATATAAAAAAGTAAATAAAATAGAGGTCCATGAACAACTCATAAAAATATTTTTAAAAATATGGATTTTTTCACAAAGGAATAATAAAAGCTATTTTTTAAAATTTTTGTTTACATTTAAGTTGCTCATTTGTGCATTCCTTTTAAAAATTTTTGTTTATTTATTTTAGATTTTTCTCTTCCTCCTCCTCCTCCTTTTCCTCCTCCACCTACTTCTTTCTCCTTTTCCTCCTCTTCCTCCTCCCTCCTCCTTCTTCTTTTCAGTGCTAGGGGTTGAATCCAAAGCCTTGTGCAGGTAAGCAAGTGCTCTCCCACTGGGCTACATCCCCAACCTTCATTTAGAATTTTATACTTACTGAAAAATTTCTTCAGCTTGGCATTGGTTTATCTCATATATGTCTCTTGAACATATGTAAATATATATATATATGATAAATTGGTATCTGTAAGACTTCACATTCGCATGACTCTCGTGAATAATTTTCCAGCTCAGTGTCTTTGAGTTGTTTGCCTGCATAGGATCCTCCTCTTGATGTCAAGAACGTTGGGGACGTAGCATCTCTTTCCTGAGAGATGTTCTGCTCTATCTCCAGAGTTCCCTTCTGAGCCATTCCATGGTTCTTTGACTCTGTACGGGCCCTGATGACCATGCGCCCCTGCTGCTGGCTGACTGTGATTGCAATGATGTATTTCAGAAATACTAAAATGTGAGTAAATATGTTTCTTTAGGTTCAAAATTGAGGTCTGCTTCTCCCAGTCACAAAGGAAGCCTTTTGCCATCTGGTCCCAGAGGTGGGTGTCTCACGGGTCCTGGATCAGCATCTCCTCTCACATCACCTACATTCCCTTCCAAACCTGTGATGAAGGCAGAAAAAAAATCCAAAACCACATGAAGAATTTGTTCTGGTCATTGCTGTGGAAACCTTCTTGGTGACTTCAGTGGGAAGTTCTTTGGAGCAGGCAATTCCACACACATCTGAATCAAGCGTGTTCTGTCGGAGCCACTGGGATGTAAAGATTTTGCCATTTCATTCTATACATGGAGGTTGGGTAAGAAGACAGTGAGGAGTCCTTGTGCAGTGGCTGTAAGGAAAGGACCCTCCCAAATTTCCTTGAACTTCGGGTTTCTACTTGCAGCTTTCTTAACACACTGCGTATAGCCATGTTGTACAGAAAAATGGCACAATCTCTTGTGGGAAGAAGCCCCAGGTATATAGGCATTAGAGAGGCATCTACATTACTGTAACTTAATCTTACACATAATCCAATCTGCCTGGATAGATGCTTCTTTTGCCTATCACCCAGGACAAATCATACCAACAGAGGACACCCAAGATGCTCATACATTCTGCATAAAAATACATCTGTATATATTTTTTACTTTTCCCTATTCAATTTTCTTTGAGCATTGGAGTTTGTTTATTTGTTTTATATTTCAGCAGCTAGGGACCAAGATATTTCTCTTCTGTTTGTTTCTCTAACTCTTTTTACAGTTTAACAAGTCAAATAAAAAACTCAGGGGAGTTAATAAGCCTCGTGATGGTATTGTGCATAGTATCACATTATCGATTGGATATACTGCATTGGAATGCTGTAGAAAAGCCCCAAACCAAAAAAAAAAAAAAAAAATCTCAGATGCCTGAAGCTTTGAGCTTTCCAATTAGGCTGAAAAAGTTCCCCTGATAACCAGTAGTACCAAAGCTTTTAATATTGTTTAGCTCTACCCGTTATTAGCAACGTTTTCTAGTTATGAAGGGCAGTGGATCACTGGATATCAGTGAGGTAGAGCATCTAACGCACGCGCACTTTCTGATCGAACATCCTATCTGGAAAAAAAAAAAACCCTTCAGTTTAACATAAACTGATCATAATTGGAAGCAAATGCTTCTTTCCCTTCTTCAATGCTATCTCCTCCTGTGCAGCCTATTTTGCATCCAAAGATACATTTGAAAGTCGAAATCCCTTAGAGCGAAATATTCTAAACTGACAGAAGAATTTCTAGTGGCACACCCGCCTGGAGCCATGTTTTTATGAGGACATCACTTTCTATTTCTAAGCTCCAGCATGCACTCTTGCTTTCTTATTGCTGGAAGCCATGCCACATCAGCTTGCCTCCCTCTCCGCTTTTAATGTTTTTTTAATGGAGTCCAGTTTTCCGCCTAAGTTATGGTTAGTTTTCTGACAAACCATCAGACACCTAAGTAACCATAATGGAGGTGTCCAGATGTGACATGGGAGAAGCAATGGCAAACTTTCATGCCTTTGAACGCCACCGTATTATGATCATTCGGTTTTTAACCTGTCCTCCGGGTTTGCCATAAAGGTGCATGGGGGCTTAAAAAAAAACATTTAAAAAAATTAATGTATGATATGAAGTCTTTTCTTGTAAGCCACAAGCTAAAGTGATCATTTCTAAATCTGACTGGCAAGCAAAGTCTACTGCCTCTACAGTGAAAGAGTAGTTCTGATGCATGTGCTTCTTGAGCATGGAATTGCTCACAGAACAATGAACTTAGTTGTCTAAGGAAACGTACTTTGCAGGTCACCTGGTTGATCAGAAAATAATAGTAAATTCAAATGAATGGTAAATTATTGAAGATGCAAATTCATCCTAAATATTTCCAGGATAAAGGAAGAACTATATGCTCTTGAAGGGCAGCGATTTACACAGCTTTATCTAATGCAGTCTGGAAAATATTTGTAGAATGTTTGGTAATTAAATATGCTCTCAGCTGAGCAATAGTGCCTGGGGTGGTCTGAGTGGTAAAGAAAGGTGAGTGTTCTTGCTCTGCTGGGATTTGAAGATTTCTGCCTGGAATCATAGACGTTGTCTGTGACACTGAGTGTGGAGTTAACGATCTGTACCATACTTGGAGTTAAGTGAGTCCTGCATAAGAAATGAGCAAAATTCATCTTCCTGGATTCTCAACTACTGGTTTTTTGCTTGGACTTTAGGTTTTACCTCCATGTCTTTGCTTCACAGAAAGGCCTTTCCATGCCTAGAAGTCCCCTCTGTCTTAAGTTCCTTCATGTTTACATCACCAATCTCTGTCTCAGATGAGTTGTTTGCTGGTTTATTAAATATCTTCATCTAGTGAAAAAATAAACTCCCTGAGATGGGATGTCACTTGTCTCCTTCACCTCTGATCCCCTCGGCTTCTAGAATGAATATCATCATATTGTAGGCCCTTTAATTAGTACGGTCTAGAGAAAGAAAGAAGATTATAATATAGCTTCAAAGACTTATGGAACATTGGATGGCCTGTAGACTGTGGAAAGAGATCATCTAAAATGTAGCCTGATGAGGGCAGGCACCTTTACCCTGTACCCCGTCCCCTGCCAACATCGGTCATAGCATCTGATAGTTTATCTTGAAGGTTTGTTAATGGAGAAGTCTTAAAGAGGTGATCTGGTGTAATTCATGCCAGTGAGGAAATAATGACATGATGGGGGGCAGATTCTCAGGGATTAAGCCCACAAGAAGTTTCCCGGATCTTTATCTCAAATGTGGGCAATTCTATTAGCTCCAAATGCCTTGAACAAAGAGTGTTTTTTTTTTTCTTCTTGGATGAAGAATAGAAAAGTACTTTATCACATGATTAATATTTTGGGTGCTTTCTGTTAATCCATGTCATCTTTTATATTAGTTTAAAACTGTTCTTATTCCAAAAAAGCTGTTGGAGTCGAAGATTCATTAGAAAGATTACTAACTTAAAAAAAAAAAAACTTGTATGAATTTGATGTATTTTGCAGAAAGGGGCCTTAGTTTGATGTTACCCAGCTTAACTTTTCATCCAAATTGCCCTTGAGGAGTGTTTTTTAATCTGATTCATTTTTATCTGTACCTTCTGAAGTGGCATTTTACTGTTTTTTTTTTTTTTTTTTTTTATACAGGAGGGTAGAGAACATGGAAAGCAGCTTTTATTCACTCCAAGGACAACTAACTCGCACACAACCAAGGGCAGAATCAGTCCCTAGGTGCATTCATTACCCCGAGGGTGTCATGGGTGCCTGTGTCTTACTTAGGAACCTCTTCAGAAATAATTACCTTGTGATTAGAATCTGATGCTAATGGTATATTTTCATTTAAGAAGTCTAAAGTCTGAAGTCTTTATTTACTGAGAGAGGGAGTGAGCTTCTTTTCACCTTGTTCCTGTTTTTCTGCCATTGCCTTAAAATAGACACAGGCAGGCAGAATTCTGAGCACCTCAGAATACCCCGCAAGAGGCAGCATTACCAATGAAACAGTTTCCCTTCATATTGTCATTCCAGTTGAATAAAGTTGAAAATATTCATGAAACCTTTTTTTTTTTTGAAATTTGAGATGTATATTCTCTAGATGGTATATCAATAGAGAAAAGGAATTAAGCACATTTCTATAGATTTTTTTTGAAAAATATTTATTTTTTAGTTTTAGGTGGAATAGTATCTTTATTTTATATTTACGTGGTGCTGAGGATTGACCCAGTGCCTCATGCATGCTAGGTGAGTACTCTACCACTGAGTCATAACCCCAGCCCATATATAGATTTTATCTAATGCTTCTGTTTAATATGGGCAGCCCATGTGGAAAAAGGGTTTACAACAGGTTTTTTTGGGGGGGCAAACCGAGAATTGAACTTAGGAACACTTAACCACTGAACCACATCCCCAGCCCTATTTTGTAATTTATCCAGAGACAGGGTCTCATTGAGTTGCTTAATGCCTTGCTGTTGCTGAGGCTGGCTTTGAACTCACGATCCTCCTGCCTCAGCCACCCAAGCTGCTGGGATGATAGGTGTGCACCACCGTGCCCAGTTTATAAGAAGTTTAACTATGTGAAATATATATATTGTGGTGCAGGGGATCAAACCCAGGGTTTTACACATGCTAGGCAAGCACTGGACCACTGGGCTATACTTCTGGCCTTAGAACAAGTTTAACTGAATGTGAAATAGAGATAGAGACATTTTGGAGTGTTCATCTCAGTCCAGGTTCATTAATAAAATTTTGGTTGTGTTAAAAGACTTTTTAACAATGGATTTGAAGACAATCTTGTGTCCATTCTTTAATCACTAACCATCGTGTGTTCCTCTGATCACTCTAATGATCCCAAGAGGTTAACATGTCATAGAGAAATAATGACTGTGTTGGGAACCCCCTAGGACAAGACCCTAACCAATTGTTTTGTTGTCATAAAGTCACAGCCCACCAATCTCATGTCCATGTGGTAGCTTAGGACTTGCCAGGCTATAATTACTGGCCAACAACAACAACAACAACAACAAAAACACATGGAATCAAGAAAATCAGCTTCTAGGGAGGACATATATGTTAAAAGACTATTTTTTTGGGGGGGAGGGTAATCAATGTTAAATCCCCCATTGTCAGAGTTAAGTAGTCTGTACATGGTTTCTTAAATTAAAATGTGTGGGAACAAAGGACATCGTGTGGAACTTGATAGGGTAGATATCTGGAGTCCTCCTTAGGCACAGCTTCTGGAGTGTGTCATCATACACTGCCTCATGTCATCCCCCCCCACCCCATCCCCCCATCCCGTCTCCACCCACAGAGGGTGGGGATGGTGGAAGAAGGGTGGGAGACTGGAGTGTGGACATACTGGAGTCTCCTCTAAACTCAGAGCAAAGAGTTCCTTTAAGACGTCTGCATGTAATGTTTAGCGGGTGCATTCACAGAACATCTTGACTTAATAAAGAGACTAGCAAAAGGAAAAGAAAAATGAGAGGGGAAAAAAAAATCCAGCAGCAAGACAATAAAAAGTTTCCTCCTCACACCCACCGCCGGAGGGCTTTTTCCTTTGAGCCTCAGAGCTTATCCCACTGAAACTCATCAATTTTTGCTTTTATGCTCGAAATGCCTGAAAACTTTTGAAGCTTCATAGCTACCCCTTGGGGTGAGAAAGTTTCACAATGGTGAGCCTCAAGGCCTGTCCCCAGGGAAGGCCAGGGGCCACAGGGCAGGAAGGGAGGCATTCTCTCTCTTCCTAGGCTGGGATCAAGTGCCCTTCTCTCTGCCAGCCTGTGAACAAAGGACAGAGCCTCAAAGCTCCTGCCCCAACGCCTGACCTCAGGGCCGAAGGCAAAATATTTTATCTCTGGGTCCTAGTGACAGAAGCTCCTCGGGCCCTGCAATTGTGGTTTATGATGTGACTAGAAACCTTTGATGGAATTACTGTTGCCGTCTATTTCTCTGGCCGGCCATTTATTATTCTGTATATTTTTGAGAGCTGTGGGAAACTTTCATAACCAGAGCCTAAGCCAGGCAAAAACTTGTTCTATTTGGAATTTGTAATGAAGGCAAACATGGCCTGGATTTTCTGAAAGGCTCCTTTGGCTGCCTGCAGGAGCCCCAGGGCACAATCAGACAGGGATGGAGAAGGCCTGGGAGCAGATTTTGTTACCAAGAATAGGACAGAACAATATTTGCCTTCAAAACACTAGGTCTGCTATTTACCTTCCCAGCTGGAAGAAGGGAGAGATAAATGCATATTTCACATAAAGTGTAAATACCAATTCTTTCATTTCTAATTTTCAGCATTCCCTCCCCCACCACCCACCCCTTTAACTCTTCCCTTAACAAAAGGTTAGGGGGAAATGTTTAGCATATTTGATTTACTGACCTAAGGGGAAAAAATTCTTTATTTCAGAACTTTTGACCCCGACAGAAATGTTCCTTTGCCTGAAATCAAAGTATGGAAGAAATGAAATAAAAAATCGTGAGACATTTGAAGGTGATCATGGGTTTTGAGTAAGGCTTCTTTCCTTTGGTGTCCCGGTCCTGCTGGGAGGTGGTAGATTGTAAGGAATTGGTCTGGGAAAAAAAAAAAAAAACCAACAAATTTTGCTGTGTTTGGATGAAAAACTTCTCCTATTTTTCAGAAGTTCTTGCAAATGAATTATCTACCCACTCAAAAAACCTGTGCCCTCAAAAGGGGGTCTGAGACCCGAACAAAAGTGGCAAGATGTAGTTTCTAATTTTTGTTTAGGTCAAAGATTAACAGTAAAAGTCCTCACTATTTCAAGTTAATGTTTATTTATTTATTTATTTTACCATCATTTAAAGAATTTCCTAAGGCCCTTATTTCACTGCTGAAAGCAGAGTTAGAGAACTCAGATTTCATGCCCCAGGGCTTGAATAAAGGAATAAAAACAGCACAACATTTGCATCTATTTAACTGTCTCAGTTCTAAAGAGTCCTCTGGAAGAGGGGGGAGACCAGTATTTCTAGGTTAAATGAAGCTACTCCGAGAGATATTTGCAGAAAAAAACCCACAATTTAGAGAAAGATACTCATTGTCAGAAATGACCCAGGAATTCAAGGCCTTATGATTGAAAACACAAAGCTTAGAAAGGTGCATTCTCTTGCTTCCCTGCTTGCCTGGATATCAATGAACATCAGCTAAAGGTGGCTGAAGAACCAATTTCATGCATCTACTGTACGAGGAAATGAACTGAGCCACGGGCAAAAATAAAATTATACAAATGTTATTATAGACTAGCCTGCTTCTGTCCTAGTTTAATTCAAATTTTGGTGCTGCAGGCTTGGCTTCTGGCAGTAGCCTTCCTGAATAAATCAACATTTGCTTACATCTAAATTATTAGGGAAGCATGTGACTTTGTTTATTGTATAAATTATACGCAAGGTTAAAGCATTAACTGTTCGACTGGCTTTGTTCAGTTACCTCACCACCTCTCCCCCAAATCTTCTCTCCCACAACCAGGAAATAAAGATTTCCAACTACTAATTTTTTCAGACAAACCAAATAACCAAGCTGCAAAGCATTATGAAGCTGAGGTTACCGTCAAGAGCACATAATGGGAGACAGTTCCAGTGTTTGGAAAACAGAGAGGAAATGGGGCCCACGAAATCTTTCACATGAACTCTGTGCCCACACAAAGGAGAATAGTGATCTGCTAAATAATCAGTTAAATTGATTAAGGCAGCCAACCAAATGGGATAATTTAATACAAAATAAAGGGAGCCTTTTGGCTAGGATTTTAGCAGGCAAGGAATTTCAAATCATATTGCAATGTGGGACCAACACTTTGATTGCCTTATCTGTTAGAAAGTTAGACACACACTCTCTGGAAAATGCACTTAGGAATAATTGTGTGTGTGTGTG